GGGGTTTCACCATGTTAGCCAGGATGATTTCGATCTCCTGACCTCGTGATCCGCCCATCTCGGCCTCCCAAAGTGCTGGGATTACACGCTTGAGCCACCGCGCCCGGCCGAATGTCTCATTTTTTAAAATAAAAGACAACCTAACCACTAGTCATTCAGAATAGCAATGGGAAACATAATAAAGTCCCATGTTCTACATTACAGTACATTGATAATTCAGATTTACATATTTGTCTGAAACGATCTTTCCTAAACTTCAAAAAATCAAGGTTTTTATTTTGAAACAATTTTAGAGTATATGCAACTGCAATAATAATACAAAAAGATCCCATGTACCCTTGACCAAGTTTTCCCCAATACTAATTATCTTGAAAAACTGTACATCACAAGCATGATGTTGACATTGAATCAAGACACAGAACATTTCCATTACCACAGGATTCCTCATGTTGCAATTTTTTTTTTTTTTTTTGAGATGGAGTCTCCCTCTGTCACCCGGACTGGAGTGCAGTGGCGCCATCTCAGCTCACTGCAAGCTCTGCCTCCCAGGTTCACGCCATTCTCCTGCCTCAGCCTCCCAAGTAGCTGGGGCTACAGGTGCCTGCCACTGTGCCCAGCTAATTTTTTGTATTTTTTTATTAGAGATGGGGTTTCACTGTGTTAGCCAGGATAGTCTCGATCTCCTGACCTCATGATCCGTCCACCTCGGCCTCCCTGGGTTTTTGAGTATAATGACACTTGCCAGACATTTCATCCAGAGGCAGGAAAAAATACCATCTCACAGAGAAGGGCTTCAAGAGACAATTATGGGAGAATAGTTTTTTTTGAAAATACAAAATTTTACTCTGGAATAGTTTTTAAAGACCTAATTGTGTAAGGTACAACTACAAAGTCAATAGACAAAAATGTAGAATTATTTCTTCGTGACCTTAAAAAATAAAAATGTTTCTTTTTTTCTTTTCTTTTCTTTCTTTCTTTTTTCTTTTTTTTTTTTTTTTTTTTTGAGACAGAGTTTTGTTCTTGTTGCCCAGGCTGGAGTACAGTGGCACGATCTTGGCTCACTGCAAGCTCCATCTCCCAGGTTCGAGAAGTTCTCCTGACTCAACCTCCTGAGTAGCTGGGACTACAGGCACCTGCCACCACGCCTGGCTAATTTTTTTTTTTTTTTTTATTTTTTGTAGAGACGGGGTTTCACCATGTTAGCCAGGATGGTGTCAATCTCCTGACCTCATGATCTGCCTGCCTCAGCCTCCCAAAGTGTTGGGATTACAGGCGTGAGCCACTGCACCCGGCCTCATGTTGCATTTTTATAGCCACATCCACATCCCCCTTGACCTCACTCCCTCCTTAACCCCTGTCGATCACAAAAAGAGACTAAATTTCATGAACTTATTGACTGAATGAAACAAATTTTGGATTGCATAGCATGATACAAAATATGTAATGTTAAAAAATGCACACACAAGGAATTCTGTTCTTGACAGTATTGTTGGACAAATAAGCAAAAGACCTTCTAAAAAGACAGTAAGAAAAGGTCAACATATAATTCAGAGGATAGACAGAGAAGGGAGAAGTGGGCAGAGAATGAGGGAAAGGAATATTTTAAGTGGAAATAGTTGAGAATTTTTGAGAATCAATGAAGGATGTGAATCTTGGATTCAGGAAGTAAAAAATTAATCTCTGAAATATAAATATATATAAATCCACCCTACAATACAGTATTAATGAAGTCATTGGTTTCTTTCTATCCAAAGGATTTAAAAATTTTACCTGGAATATTCATGGAATACAAAAGAAAGTGGTAGCAGTGACTCACCCTAGAAAGTATGGACTGAGATACCCAACCCAAACTAGCCCACTCTCCCATAGGCCAAAATCCAGGCCTTCTTAGAAAGGGCAGAGACATGGTTCAGAATGGCAGAGATGTAGGACTAGCCTGGAAGTCAACCTCTTGGTAGACGGCAAAAGCCATCTTCAGAGAGATGCCACTACCTCTTATTACTTGCTGTGAAGCCACCCAAGTGTGTGTTAGAGGCTGGTCCTGCTGGGTGTCACACATTACAGGAGCCAAGGGCTACTGCTGCAAGCACTACAGGAGCCTGACAAGAGTGAAACAAAACTAAGAAGAGAAACAACCTCCTCCTCTAGTGTCCTCCCTGCACTCTACTGGCAGAAATTAACATCATGCCAGGTGACAAAGGAGAAATGTTCACAGAACCCAGTTCCAATACTACAGAGCAGGCAATGAAGGATTCGGAGCCGAGAGGCAGTAAATTGATGGTTAACACAAAGTTTTTAAATTCCTGGAATATATTAAAAAATGAAGTGGGCTGGGTGAAGTAGGTTATGCCTGTAATCCAAGCACTTTGGGAAGCTGAGGTGGCTGGATCACCTGAGGTCAAGAGTTCAAGACCAGCCTGGTCAACATGGTGAAAAACTGTCTCTACCAAAAATACAAAAAGTAGCTGGGCATGGCTGCACACACCTGTAGTCCCAGCTACTTGGGAGGCTGAGGCAGGAGAATTTTGAAACTCAGAGGTGGAGGTTGCAGTGAGCCAAGATTGGGCCACTGGACTCCAGCCTGGGCGTGTCTCAAAAAAAAAAAAAAAAATGAAGTGGGCCAAATGTGGACTTACGATGAGAATGTGTAATAAATCACGTATTATGAATAACCTACTTTTGTCCAAAAATTTATGAAATTTACATGAAATATTCCTGTTAGAATAAAAAGAAACTGTTAGCAGTTGTTGCACCTGTGGAGAGAAGGTGAGTGGCTACAGAACTGGATGTTAGGGGAGAATTAATTTTCACATTTTTGGTAATTTTTGAATTTTATAATATGTGCTTCTATTAAGCAAAAAATTTAGAAGGTTTTAAAAAATAAATGTGATGCCAAAATACATACGCCAGATACTCTTTAATCCCACTGTTGGGAATCTGCACAACAGAAACAAAAGAAGGTAAAACTAGAGTTCCAGGTGAACATTAGAAACAACTTGAATGTCTGTTGTAGGTAATGGCTCAAAATACAGACACATTCCATTCTAGAAATATTCTGAACCTTACAAAGAATGGGTTACATCTTTATGTACTGACCTGGAAAAGTATTTATGATTATTGTGAAAAGGACAAGATGCTGTCAAATGTCCGTATAGGGGGTAAAATCTCCTCCAAACACATGCAACAAACACTTTCTGTGTACAGGCTTTTTGAGCATAAAGGAAGAAGAAATACACATACTGGTTATCGCAGAGATTTGTGGGAGGAGAGGAAATTGTTTTCATTTTATTTATGCTATATTTCACTGGTTTCAGTGAAACATGTAATTTTAGAAAATTTATTCTCAATAACGGTTAATACAGTAACTCAGAAACAGCATTAAATGAAAGCAAAATTTACACTTTAATTAGTTTTCCATTTTCTCACTTAAAAACATTTGATTTTCAAGGATTATGTAAATAAATCAATACTAATGAAACATGGTGGCTTACCAACATTTTCCTTAAATAAAACAAAGACAATGTATATTTCCATCAACAAATTTCATGCTAGACTAGGATGGGGAGGGAGGAGAGGAAACCTGACGGGCTTCTCACCAGTATGAAGAGTCTGACGTAAGTTAAGTTGTAATCCATGATTAAACGCCTTCCCACATTGATAAGGTTTCTTTCCAGAATGAATTCTCTGATGGTGCGAGAAGCTTGAATGATAGCTAAAGGCTTTCCCACATTCCTTACATTCATAGGGTTTCTCACCAGTATGAATTCTTTGATGTTGAATAAGGTGTGAATGAAGTCTAAAGGCCTTACCACATATCATGCATTCATGAGGTTTCTCACCAGTATGAATTCTCTGATGTCTTTTGAGGTGTGAACACTGTCTAAAAGTCTTCCCACATTCTTTACACTCATAGGGTTTCTCACCAGTATGAATCCTCTGATGTAGGGTTAGTTGTAAGCCATCACAAAACGCCTTCCCACATTCATGACATTCATAAGGTTTCTTGCCAGAATGAATTTTCTGATGATGCGAGAAGCTTGAGTGATAGCTAAAGGCCTTCCCACATTCCCGACATTCATAGGGTTTCTCACCAGTATGAATTCTCTGATGTATAGTAAGATGTGAGCGATGCCTAAAAGTCTTTCCACATTCTTTACATTCATAAGGTTTCTCACCAGTATGGAGTCGCAGATGTTCAGTAAGTTGAAAGCCACGAATAAAAGCTTTCCCACATTGCTTACATTCATAGGGTTTTTCACCAGTATGAAGTCTCTGATGTTGAGTAAGCTGTGATCGCTGTCTAAAGGCCTTCCCACATTCTTTACATTCATAAGGTTTCTCACCAGTGTGAATTCTTTGATGTAGAGTAAGTTCTGAGCCATAATTAAAGGCCTTCCCACATTCGTTACATTCATAGCGTTTTTCACCATTATGAATTCTTAGATGTTGTTTAAGTTGTGAGCAATGAACAAAGGCCTTCCAACATTCTTTACACTCATTGCATTTGTCACCATTTTGAATTGTCTGTTGTTTAAAAAGGCATGGTGTATTAACCATTTCCGTGCATTCTTTACATTTGGAAAGTTCTTTAGAATGAGTTCTTTTGTGGTGACTAAAATATAAATGGTAACTGAAGATTTTTCTACACTTTTTACATTCAGAGATTTTCTCTCTATCATAAAATTCTTGAGTGAGTAAAGTATGTTGGCTAAAAATGTGCATGTTTTCATGGTTAATCATAAGTTGTCTAAAATAACCCTCCTCTTGTCCCTGATGTTGCTCAAAATGACAGTTGCCTTCCCAGATATCTCTGAAAATTGATCTCTCAGGACTATGGCTTTTAAATTCCTCCATGTTAACCCACTGGAATAATTCTGTTTCATAAATACCACTTTTTGGAGGTAACTTCTGGGGCTCATCTCTGGATGCCAAGTCTGAAAGATAAGAAATACATTTTAACTCCTGATTTTGTACTATAAGAGAAATAAAATATCTATGGTAGCAATGAGAGATAACTGCAAATAATTCACATAATAAATAAAAGGCTTGGAGAACTCTTACGTGGGTAGAGCAGCACAGGGAAATGAGAGCACTCAAATGAAGGAGTTAATTAGGGAAATAAGTCAGTTCAATGGTGCTGAAATTTTGATCCGCCTCTGAATTACCTTGAGAGTTTGTTGCAATTATGGATGTTTAGGAAACATTCTAAATGAACTCAACCAGAATTTAAGAGAGTTGGTCTTAGAGTGAGGTCAACTGAGTCCGAGTCCATATGCTTAACACTGTCAGGCCAAAGGTTTATGTGGCAGATTGTCAGCTGTTGCCAGATATCTATTTTCCTTTTTAAAAAATATCAATTGAACCCACGGCTTTTTATTTGAGAATAAAGCTGCCAATATAAACTCTGCATTTCCCAAGCTCCTTTACAGCTGGGAATGCCATGCAACTTGGGTTCTGCCTAAAGAAATACAGAAATATTATGTAATACCATCTGAGTTCTTTCCTTAAGAGTCAGGTGGCCCAAGCCCTATGTTGCTTGTTTTCCCTCTTCCTCAACAAAGCTGATGGCAATATTGATTTGCTGTCATGTCTGTCACATAATGGTTTTGCAGAGTAGGTACCTTTCCAGCTTGGATTTTAATGCAAGAGAAAATTAAATTTCTATGCCTGGGTTATAGACATTGTATCAAAAAAAGAAAATTAATTTAAACATCTATATGGTTTCAATTACAATTGTTCTGGGTCTCTGTCACAAGCAGCTTAATCTACATACATACAAATACAGCTTCCCACAGAAATTTTAAAACTTCAGCTCCTTGTCATAAGAATACAAGGCTTCTGCTAACCAATATAATCTCATTTTGAGTTCAATTCCCTTTTATTCATTAGGCTATAACGAAATTAATCTGTCAACAACTAGGACATGCCAAAGCTGTTCCTATGTTAGAGCTTCATAGCCTCTTCCATGTGCTAAGAATCTTTTTGCCTAGATTTTTTGTAAAGCGGGCTTCATTTCATCCAAGTCTCAGAGTAAAAGTCACTTCCTCAAAAGTGTATCCCCGATAATATTACCTAATGGAGTCCTTCCTGAAGTACTACTGGAATTACATATTCATTTATTATTCATCTTTTTAATATTTGGCCAGGCATGATGGCT